TGAACAAAAAGAAAAAAAAAAGAAGCTAAATGAAATCGTGTAGATTATATAGCCAAAAAATATCAAAATAAAATATAAAATTGTTTTAAAATTTATAATTTCGGGCGCATATTTAGTCGCATCAAACTAAACATAAACTTAGTCCAATGAAGTCCAGATAGACGAAAAGCTTTACGCGAAAACATTTTCCACATTGTAATACTTGTTTTCCTTAGAGCAACATGAATCCATCCAGCTCTTACATTATATAACAACTTAAAAGAGACTGTTTGGCCAACACAAGGACTGAACAAAATTCATGTTAAAAAAATTAAAAAACAACAAATGAAAACTACAGACAAAAGTTCATTTTCTCCAGCAAGACATTCATTTCTGTAGTTCACTGCTACCAGCAAGCAGAATATTTTTTTCCTGAAAAATATTTTCAAAATTTTTTTGGCTGAAACTAGTCGAGGAATCTAATTAAAATAATAAAACGATAGAATATTAATATACAAACCCAGTATGTCTGAAGATATTATTTTTATTATTTTTATTATTCAATATATATATATATATATATATATATATATATATATATATATATATATATATATATATATATATTAAGACATATTTTTATGTTTATACGTTCTTTTTTATAGATACAAATATTTAAGTAAATGCTCTGTTTATAATGTGGATAATCATTCGATTGCTTCAAGCCAGACCGATGGTGCATCAGTCAGAGATTCTACCCGCAAGCTATCGTACCACAAAAGAGCGGAAGGTAAATGTTAAGGTTTTTACCATGCCAAAGACGTCATTAGCAAGGAGAGCTCGATTCGAATAGACGAGCATTGCATTAGCAGCATCAGACAGTGTTTATAAAATCACTCCTTCCTCTCCGAGAGCTCATTCGAATTATTTCGAGAGTATAGTCATCCTCAGATAGACTATATATATATATATAGAATGAGTCCGTTTACGTCGATTGCAGGTACGTTTGTGACTGATAAGGCCAATGCGGTCGCAGCAGTTGCAACTTAAGGCCCGGTTTAGGCTCGATGGCATAGCGTTGTAGTACTTCCTTCTCAGCCTCTTGTCCTTGAGAGCGACCCTTTAGCTATTTTCAAAGGAAGAGACAGCATAGTTGGTGGTGAGAAGCCAGGCGCCACGGTTCTCAGATAGGATGGGGCATTCGCAGTGGTCGATGTGACAGGCACCAAAAGAATTTTTAAACAATCTTTGATCGCCCCTTTGGTGCTCCTCTGCCGCGATAGCCAGTGAATAGCTTGCCGTATAGTAAATTCTTAGGCAGGCGATGATTCTCCATCCTGGAAACGTGTCCAGCCCAGCTGAAAGTTTAGCAACATGGATTTTCGCCTTTTCAAGAACTTCAATATTGGTGACAAAGTCACTCTAGTGGATCTTAAGGATTTGGGGAGCCAGCGCTGGTGTAACCGTGCGAGGAGTCGTAGGTGGTAAGTGACCCACAACTGTGCCGCATACCAGAGTAGCGAGGACGATAGCTCTATACACTGATCTGTGTGACCTTCTTCAGGCATCTGTTATACCACAGACGTTTGTATAATCTGCCAAAACCAATGCTCGCCTTTATAGTGTTATGGTGTCCTCCCCTTTTTCATATAAGTGGACTCGACCAGAGTGTTATTTGGACTGCTGCCGTTAAATACCCAGAGTCAGTCAGAATATAGAGAGAGTAAGCAGAGATTGTGATTGAGTTGCGGGTAGAGTAATAGTGTGAGGTAACCGCTTATAGACGTCAGTTACAAGCACGTAGACTCTAAGGAAGTCCTACTTCGAGACTGTATATATATATATATATATATATATATATATATATATATATATTATTATTATTATTATTATTGCTACTAACCGTGTTCCTGGATTTACTAAGAGTATTACCCATTGTATTATTGTGTAAATACATTTAATTTCTTATCTTTAATTCCTGCGTTTGTCATTCATTGGAGACCGAATTTCATCTCGGAATCCACAACATATAGCACACACACACACACACACACACACACACACACACACACACACACACACACACACACACATATATATATATATATAAATATATATATATACCTACAAAACATAGAAATACCTGGCTTGGTGTCCGGGCGCGCGGTTAAACCCCTGGGAGAGAGCGTCCCCTTAGTCCTTATTAGAACAGCCCCCTAGGAAAAGGCAAATTCTGATTAAAAAGGCGCGATCCCTTCAGCACTTGACATGTGGCAAAGCGTGCATCTGTACAGCGCCTATGCTGTTTGGATGGAGAGAGTGTGCATTGTGCTGTACAAGAAATGACCACTATAAACAAGTCATGTGCAGGTTGTTGAATAAACACCACCGCCATGTGCTCTTGAAATCCTGTGGCGTTGAAGGTTGAAAGGACGGCAACGGGTGAAGGATGTCGTTGGAGGTTCCCAGCTTGGACTTTGCACATGGGTAATGAAAGGTAGATAGTCGTTTTCCACAGCATTTGCGCTCGAGCAAAATGGCTTAACCACGTTCTGTCTGTCGAAAAGAGGGTGCAAGTGTCATAGAAGTTGAACCCCCATTTGTTGTCCGTGACGGGAGAAGCCACCATATATATATATATATATATATATATATATATATATATATATGTGTGTGTGTGTGTGTGTGTGTGTGTGTGTTGTGCTCCAACGGTGCCTAAACACGAAAGCTATTCTGTAGCGATTTCAACATGTTTTGGTTATAATACCTTATTATAATAATAATAATTATAATAATAATAATTATAATAATAATAATAATAATAATAATAATACGAAGAAGAAGAAGAAGAAGAAGAAGAAGAAGAAGAAGAAGAAGAAGAAGAAGAAGAAGAATATATTTTTTTATTTCTGTACGTTGGTATTGAGCACTTTTGAAAATGCTACGAACAGTGGAATTTTAGCCCATCTGTTCTTTCTCTCTTTTGGATATATATATATATATATATATATATATATATATATATATATATATATATATATTTTTTTTTTAAAATTGGAATTAAGATACCATTAGTTAATAACAATTTTCACCTATGAATTTTAAATTTAAAATTCGTAGGATTTTTCAAACTGTTCATGGTATAGAAGGGGACTGGTTGTGGAAGGAAATATATATATATATATATATATATATAGATAGATAGATAGATAGATACTAGAGAACCCGTGATCCATTGGGTCAATGACGGTTTAGTTTCTGAAACAACATTGGGATTAATTTCAAAATTGTCTGCTTCAAGATGTTGAAAGAAAAATACTTACTAAACCACTCGAATTTTTAAATCTTATTCACTTAAAATATTTTTTAGATCAGATTAACGTAAAAATATTTTTTTAAATATTTAAAATGTTGTTTGTTTAAAGAAAACTGAAATATAAATAATCGCTCTACAAACAACTTGGCGAAATAGCAAAGCGGGGTTTCTTTGTGTCTGTCTTTAACTTAAAAATATTTTAATTAAAAAATGTCTGTTTGAAGAAAATTAAAATAAAAATACTTATTGTATAAAGAAATTTTAAATCATTACGCGCCAGACGCACGCACTACGCAAGCACACACGCAATCACAGACTTTTACTATTATATATATATATATATATATATATATATATATATATATATCATACTTATTATAAAACCCAGGTTGTGTGTGTGTCTGTACGTTTATATATGGGATCGGATTTCCTACATTTTTCAACTGATTTCAACAAAACTTCACAGGACTACGTAAAATTACCTTGCGGTGGTTGTGACAGCGCAAAAATTGGAAAAAAATTGTTTTTGCATGAAATCAATTTGAAAACACGATTAAGAGGCATCGCGAGAATGATAGGGGGACAACTCATATCGAGTTATACTTATTATAAAACCCAGGTTGTTTGTGTGTGTGTCTGTGTGTGTGTCTGTGTGTCTGTGTGTGTGTGTGTGTGTGTTTGTGTGTGTGTGCGTGTGTGTGCGTGTGTGTTCGTTTATATATGAGATCGGATTTCCTACATTTTTCAACCGATTTCAACAAAACTTCACTTTTTTTTGGCAGGTAGTGTTTCTTATTGTCTTGCACACTTTTTTCTTTATTTTTACATTCAGAATGCTTTAAAAATTCCATTTACAAGACAATTGTTTATAATAAAAGAAGTATCTCGCCGAGGGAATAAAGCAGAATATTGCCTTAAAGCACAAATTTCTTCAACGATCCTTGAAACATTCAGATCTGCAAAATTTCGTATCCTAACGTAAACAAAGCAATTTCTAAAGAAGTATAGGATTTTATCATTTATATGCTATATTTAGTAAATACCCATATTTGAGTAAACACTCCGTTTATTTATTAAACAGTATATTTATCTATTTCCTGCCAGATGGTGCATATTTCCATCAATAAGATTTATACAACATTCACATTTAAGTGGTAAAATCTGCCGGAATAATAAATAAAAAATCCATTACTTTTTATTATATATATATATATATATATATATATATATATATATATTTTTTTCATATAGACAAAATCAATTTACTCGACTGGTGAGAATCAAAATGGTTAACCATTTTGGTTCTTACCAGTCGAGGTGCAAACCAAATGCACCGAAACGAAATTGCATCTTTGTAGTGAGTAAACTGTTTCGTCTATATGATAAAATTATAATGAATAATTAATGCTCTAATATCGGTATTGAGCCCTCTTTTTGAATTAATCCGGTGAACGTTAGAATTTATATATTTTTCGTTCTCATTACATTCGTATATATATATATATACATATATATATATATATATATATATATATATATATATATATATATATATATATATATATGGGGTGCAAAATTAGAGTGTATTTGTAAAAGGACAATATATGTATAAAAGGATAACTTATCCTAGCCGACAAAATCCATCAGATGACGAGACCCGTCGGCTAAGAAAAGTTTTCCTTTTGACATTTTGATTTCCCTTTTTACTGTATATATTTAGAATACACTTGCATTCCTTTCCCTTTACATTCTTTCCTACACCCTCCCTCTTTCCACTTCCCTTCCCATTAAACCGAATGTCTTGTCTTTCAATCATCATACGCCTGTCATTTCTTTTAAAGATAATTATGTAGCGATCTTTATGGGTTTTTTTTAAAATAAAGTGTTAAAGTGGTCATTTTAAAATTATCACCCGACGAGACCATACCTGAAGATGTCTGTAGGAACAGACGAAAGCTTGTAAAAAACTAAAAAAAAAAACCCTTATGCAACTGGAATTTATAAACAGAGATCATAACATTTATATACAGGTTCGGGGTTAATGTACTTTATTAAAATTGTTTGCGAAGATGAATTCTCGCCATTTAAATCAATAACTTCTATATCTGTTTTTTGTATGAATGATTCATGTAATGTAAATTGAACTGCACCACATACTTGATATATATATATATATATATATATATATATATATATATTCATGAATTATTCAAACAAAAAAAAAAACAAATACAAAGGTTAATGATTTAATTGGCGAGAAATCCATCTTCGCGAACAATTCAAATAATATACAAAAACTCCGAACCTGTTTATGAATGAAAAGATCCTTGTTTTATAAATTTCAGTTGCATAAGTTCTTATTATTTTTACAAGCTTCCGTCTGTTCCTACAGACATCCTCAGGTATGGAATAGATTTTGTTCTTGTTTTTACCCTCAGTAATAAGAGGACAACGAAAATAGATATATTGTAATCCGAAAAATGCTATGAGAATGCTATGCAACGCTGAGTTTGAATTTAAATTTTAAGGTTTTGCGTTCTTGTACAAATATATATATATATATATATATATATATATATATATATATATATATATATATATACGAGATAGCACAAAAGGTACTGTAAAATTGTTGACGAGTCAAACAGGTTTATTACAATACAAAAAACAAATACGTATATGTTGACAGTATTACTATGCTATTTTTCACCATCGAAATTTATGCACTTACACCATCAAGTACGAAGGCTGGTTCCATGACCTGGAAGCATCCATCATCTCTGACTTCCACAAAATTCAAATGCCAGCAGCCAACCAACAAAGATATTAATGGAATGTAAAACGTGTGCTGCTCGTGGAAATACCACAAAGTCAGAGAATTAAGGCCGTCAGATACTATGTAACAATGGACAGGTGGATGGAAACTGTTCCTTTTATGACATCAAGATGTTTGCGCATGGATGTTAGTCTGCTGCACGACAAAGCCGTTTTTACAACACGGCCAGTCTGACAAAAGACTGGCTCAAAATAATCCGAATTGTTTAAAGCGTTCACAACAGGGTTCTGATTTGTTTTTTTGTTTTTTTTGTTTTTTCAAATTCCTTATTTGGGACCTACAAACGTCATTTATCCAAGATGACGTGGTTGTTGCAGAGGTGGATCAATCACGATGGTGATTACGTAAGGGTTGGTAATATAAGCAAAAATGTTTTATTTGTATACTATTGAGCAGGTTAGGTAAGTAAATGTTTATTGATTACTTTGGAATATCTCTCTCCATTTATCCTTTATCATTTTTTTATATTTTATTTTATTTTCTATAACCACCATTTTTACAATAGATTTCCAAATGTTTATCACAAAATTTTTATCTTTTTAATTGTTCCTTCATTTTTCTTTTCATTTTATTTCATTTAATTACATTTTATTGCTATATATTCCTTTTTTTCTTTCTCACTTTTTTGTCTCGTCAGATGTTATTCTAAGGACAACACGTCTTTCTGAAATTGACAATTGGTAGAACAATTTTCGGCTACAACTGGCTACACGCGAGACGCCTTCCCCCACTTCGCAACCTATTACTCTTTTCGTCAATGTTTACAATCATCCTCCTCCACTCCCCCTACTACTATTAATAGACCGGCCTATCGCTTTTATATCGATCAAAATTTAAATTTAAGATCATTTTCATAAAAAGTTTCGCACACCGAGAAATCAGACAGAGAGAGGGTATTTTTACTAATAACATGATTTTCACCAGAAAATACACCATCTACAAAAAAAATTCTCTGTTTATTTCTCGTTCTGTTGATGAACGACACAGGCTTGTCCCAAAATTTCGCACTTAAAACCTTTCTTTCCGTGGTTCAATTCTGTCATATGCTTAATAATTAATAATTAATAAATGTTTCTCTTACTGATTATATTGATACTCTTTTGTTTGTCCATGTGTTATTAACTAACCTATTATATATATATATATATATATATATATATATATATATATATATATATATATATATTATATTTGAAGAAATATATTTTTTAAGGTGTTATATATTTATGGGATAAAGTGGTCAATATCAGAGATAGAGCGTATGTAAATATATAAGTGAACATTGAAGTCAACACTCAGAGGCGTCAGTCTGTTTCATGTTAAACGCAATCGTCAGGCTGCCTGACGATTGCGTTTAGCATGAAACAGC